TATAACTTTTATTATGACTTACTAATGCAAAACATATAAATTGACCAAAGTTCTTTAAAAATTTACACAACAATAATTCTCAATTTTAAAAAATGTGATAGTAGAATTAAAAATACAATAAGTTTTTATTGATTTCGATCTTGTAATCTATCGATCACACCTTGTATTTTAATAAAAATCGAAAACAATGATACCCAATTACAATTACAATATCATTTTACGCAATACATGCCTACTAAATTGTTGTTTGTGCAGATTTCTTCATTCAACACTTATTTACAGAACTTTATAGCCTTTCAAAGAGGTGCATCCAATCATCTATCTGCAACAGAATAACCAAAGATGATTTGATGATGATGATTGAAGATTATCTATTGGTATAAAGTTACACTGAGAAATATTGTATGCTGTTCACAACATTTTTGTTTTCTATGATCCATTAAGTACATCTTCATATTAATTTCTTAAAATTTCTTTGCACCTTAAAAATAATTGATGATAAATGATTACAACTTATGATTATGATTACAACGGTCAACTTATGATTACAACGGTCAACTCACAAATTATCTAAAATCTTAAGATTATTTTATTAATTCAAATTTAAAAGTCAGGAACTTTTACTTGCTGCCCATAATTGTGGGGTTGTGGTATTGCAACCGGCAAGCCTACCCATTTGTGCTAAGACATTAAATCAGTTTGATTTTAGAAAATTTGCCATAGCATAGCCGGTCTTCATGGTGACAGTTTATTTTACAATATATAATACAATACTGTAGAATCTTTTTCATATATTTTGGTATGGTATTAATTGGTAGTTGGTATTAATATCAGAACTAAAGATGTATTTAATTTCGTCTACGGGAAGCGTCTATCAATGTCTATATTTAACGCAAACAGTTTTTCCTGTTCGATTTTACTTATTGTATTTTTAATTCTACTGAGGTGTACTTATTAGCTGTAGACTGTAAAAATCACCGACTTATTGATAATACTGATGTAGTGTACTTATCAATTTACTTAATTATTTATTTACTTATATATAACACTACATTTATTTATTTATCATTTATTTATTATATGACATTCACACATAAACATTCATAACACACAACATTACACACGCAAAACACATCACATATATATTCACATACACAAATATTATTATACTACAAACAGACAGACACTCACACTCCAAATTCACACTTATTTTAATATACAATTGCAACGCGCTGCAGAGCGCCGCCCGCGGCGCGGACGCAAAATGTCCGAAATGCGGAATC